TGTGACCCCCCCCCCCCTTGCCCGAAAAAAGGAGCACTGGAAAAAAAAATACATTGGATCTAGAGTCCAGACACTTGAAAACATTGACAAGAAAAAATACTCTTGATTCAATCGGATTTTTGCTTGAATCAAAACAAAATTCGCTTAAATTAAGAGGATTATTGGTTCTTGATTTAAGCTATAGATTCTGATTGAATCAAGAGTACTTTTTCTTGTCGATGTTTTTAAGAGTCTGAACTGTAGATCCAATGTGTTTTTTTTAAGTATGAGAGGTCGGCCATGACATTGACGATGTTTATTTCGTCTCATTTTAAATTGCAAGGGGTGCTTTTTGTAGAACATTTTACGAGGTTACCAATACAAATTGGTGCGTTTTCATTCTCATAGATTCAATTTTGAGGAAGGACAGCTACTTAAAGAGAACAGTTAGACGCCCCCACAATCTCAAGGAGTGCGCCAGAAGTTGTTTTTCGCGCCCTTGACTAGCCATTTGCGGCGTTTTTCAGGATCCTACGGCCAAACGTGCAAAGTTTCCACCTGTAGAGCCAAAATTTGACGATTTCCTTCCAGAATCAATTGAAGGATCGCTTCTTCTAGTTCTCAAATCAAAGTTTGCGCCCCTCAGTGCAATCTCCCACGTAGGGAAAAAATCAGATATCGTGAAACGAGGCTAATTCAATTGATACACGTCCAAAAATCAATCAGATTTATTCCGCCCGATAATAGAAACCGCGTTGACGGCGCAGGATTAATAGCTTCATCTCCGGACTTCCAGGTTCGGCGGAGTTGAACTTTCTCACGTAATCTGGAGTGGAAAGTACACTGTAGAGCTTGCAGGCCGAGCGAGCGGAGAGGGGGGGGGGCGGGGGCTGCAAGAGCAACCTGGACGTAATTTATTGCGTTGTCAAGGAGTACCGCAGATCGGTAAAGATCGCCGATCGGGGAGCCCTGATTGGTGGATGCGAACCGGATAGCGGCAGACAAATGGACCTCCATAACCCACTCCCTGCGTCTTTTGTTTACCTTTGATGATCGAGTCGTGATCCGTTCTCCTTATAAACGTGGTTACGTTAAATTGACGTATTCCTATCATGCGAGCCTCGGCCTGCCGTGCCTGTAGTGACAAAAGGACGTAAGCCCATCCTGAAATGAGCCCATGGCGCCGCGTGAGTCATCGAGTATCGATTTTTTCTCATTTGAGGCTATGGTAAAGAATCGATTACTAGGATGCACCCTATAATCGATCCTATTTCGTGGGTTTAAATGGCAGATATATCGAAAATACGAAACGCCGCGCCGTTGAGATAAGCCCTATCGGACGTATAATGTTCGCTTTCCGGAGCTTTCCTGAAAATAGAGTTGAGCTCTTTTGTCAGTGAAGCGATGCATTGTGAAAGTAGAGTATAGTATCCTTGGGATCTTATTGTTAACCTCCCATAGTGTACAAGTTACTTAAGGAGAGCGGTAGTGATTCTCAGAGTCAATAATAGTCCGTGAGAACCGTCCTAAGCCAATTTTACTCACGCAGTGCCCCCCCTCCCCCCTCCATGGAAGAAGGTATGGCAGAAGGGATATTCAATCGTTTTAGAAACACTTTAAAAAAAAAATGTACGAAAATATTTTTGAAATGTTAAGGGAAGAAAGTTTAG